GACACATGAAACGACTCTTCGCGCACCCATAACTCGGGGCTATACCTCAAATCAAGATGAAAATCAAGCACCTAATGGTTCTTCTATCCTCCAGCACCCCCTCCTCATCGCTTCCAATTCATAAGAATACATCTCGCAATCACAACATACTCATCACATAGCCATACAGCCGTCACTTCCACTAATAGGGACACTACCGAACATATAAGTTCAAAAACACGTGCTCACACAATCGACACCTCGGTGCTCAGGCCATAGGCAAGGATCCGACCTCAAGTCCTCCAGATTGGCCCAACGTCAACTCACAGAGATCACGTCTCGCCCCTCGATCAGGGAACCACAAGCCATCAAGGCACATCTGATACTGAGCGCTCATACGCGCATACGAACGCATGGAAGGAATTTCGAGAGTTACTTTTCAAGCTGAATCAAGGACGCACGATGATAATTCAAGAATGTGAAGTTTTCCTAAAGGTTCTGCAGCCTCTCGAGGATAAATACAGACGTCTCCGTACCGATCTACGAGACTCTACTAAACCTACACATGACTCGTGAGACCTATGTAACCTAGGCTCTAATACTAACTTGTCATGACCCAAACCCCGATCCGGTCGTGATGGCGCCTCTCGTGAAGACAAGGCCAGCCAACTAACCCATTTCGCCCTTTCAAAATAGTTAAATATTAATAAACAGTTTAAGTATGAATAGATAACCACAAACTAAGCAAAAGATTTTTATAATGTGCGAAAAACAGCCCAAACACAGCCCGATACCGGGGTGTCACAAGTCACGAGCATCTATTAGAGTATAAATACAACTACAAGGTTTGAAATATAAAAAACAGGACTGATGAACGAAAGGGGAGAAAAGTGGTGCTGGGAACGCTGGCAGCCATCTCACTAAACTTCGATAACCCTGCCTCTGATCAGCCAAAACACGCTACCGGGTGTATAAATACTTGCATCTGCACACAAGGTGTAGGGAGTAAAGTGAGTACTCCAACTCAGTGAATAATAAAGGTAAATAACAACTGAGCAGTAAGAAATCACGTAAAGCAAATCAACATGCTGTATAGAAGCAGTGTAAAACCTTTTGAGAAAAAGCAATGAAGCTGTGAAATCTTTAGAAACATCTTAGCTCAGTTTAAACCTTTTCTGAAAATGACTTTTTCAACAGTTACGCAAATGAATGCAAAACAGTTAGTGCCGATAAGCACAAAAAATCCACCCCTCGGGCACAAATACCACAGTATAACAGGTAAAATGACAAGTAAATATGAAAGATGAACACATAAAGGTTCGCCCCTCGGGCAATATCTCAGAACAGTACTAGCCCCTCAAGCTCACTCTCAGAACAATATCGGCCCCTCGAGCTCACTCTCAGAACAACATCATCCCCTCGGGCTCACTCTCAGAACAATATCAGCACCTCGGGCTCACTTTCAGATCACAATATCAGCCCTTCGGGCTCACTCTCAGATCACAATGTCAGCCCCTCGGGCTCACTCTCAGATCACAATGGGTACCCACGCTCACTGGGGGTGTACAGACTCCTGGAGGGGCCTCCTACGGTCCAAGCGCAATATCAAACCATCTCGTGGCATCAAATCTCGGCTCTCGACCTCACATCACTCAAGCCACCTCGTGGCGTATATATGTATCTCAGCCCTCGGCCTCATATCACTCAGTATATCCTCACATCTGGCCCTCGGCCGCACTTAGTCCGAAAATCATCACAAGCCCCTTGGGCATTAGTAAAACAGTATTTCTCAGCCCCAAACATTATTTAAAAATATCATTTAAGTCTCAAAACTGAGTAAAAGTAGCTGAGTTGTAAAACAGTGGAAAACAACATGACTGAGTTCAAGTAATAAGTCAATACAGTGAGGAAATAGTGGTAAAAATCCCCGAAGGGTTCAAATAGTTGGCACGAAGCCCAAATATGGCAATCAGCCCAAATCATGATCATAACAAATAAGTTTCAGTCAAATACGCAGTAAAATCATCAATCGGGACGGACCAAGTCACAATCCCCAATAGTAAACGACCCCACACTCATCATCAAGCGCGTGTCTCACTTCAATATAGCACTACGATGTGCAAATCCGGGGTTTCAAGCCCTCAGAACATCATTTACAATATTACTCACCTCAAACCGGCTGAATCTCTAGCTCGCGACGCCTTTGCCCCTCAATTCGGCCTCCACGCGCGTCGAATCTATCCAAAAATAGAACGAGAACATCAAATATGCTAAGGGAACAAAGCCCAAGCGAAAATAATCAATAACGGGCACAAATCCCGAAATTATCAAAACCCGAGCCCCGGACCCACTTCTTGAAACTCAAAAATTTTTACATCATTAGATTCTTCGTCTCCCCACGAGTTCATACATATCAATCACATCAAAATCGGAGTTCAAAGGCCTCTTAAACTCAAGCCCTAATCCTTCATTTTTAGCCCTTTAAACCCATTAATTACACCCTTAATTCAAGAAATTCTACCATAGAAATGTGTTTTAAGTCCAAATTCCTTACCTCAACGAAGTCTCTTTCATTCCTCTCTTCAAAATTGCGCAAAGCTCCCAATTCCGAGTGCAAAAACGGTTAACCCTTCAAAAATCGCGAAGGAAGACATATATATATATATATATATATATATATATATATATATATATATATCTGCCCAGACATAACCGCATTT